AGCTTGTTCTAAGTAGGTGCTTTAGACCACTGAGCCATCTCACCAGCCCAGTACTAATACAATTTGATTGGAAAAAGCTACCAGGCATGCAGGGGGTCGCGATGCAAGCTTATAACCCAGAATTTAGGAGGCTGAGGCAGGAAGTTCGTCACAAGTTCAAGGCCAGCCTGCGCTACACAGTGAATTCAAGACCCAGTAATTCAATACTCTGCATGCCTGTAATCCTGTGCACACCTGTAATCCAGCACTCTGGGAGGTTGAGACAGAAAGATTACGAGTTCAAACCCAGCCTGGGCAATTTAGTAACCCAGCCAGTCATCTCCAAATTTTAAGGGCTGGGGCCAGGGAGATAGCTCAGTAGAATAAGCGCCTGCCTAGCACCGCAAGGGCCAGAGTTCAATCCTCGGTTCAAAAATTTTAAGAGCTATGGGTGTAGCTGTCTGAAGGCCCTTGGTTCAGTCCAGGGGAAGTGGTGAACGGGCACTTTGTGCCTGGTTCTCCATCTTTTTTTTTTTTTTGCGGAACCAGGGATTGAACTCAGGCCCTTGCGCTTGCCAGGAAGCACTTATTTCACTGAGCCATCTCCCTGGCCCCAAAGGCAGAAGGATTTTTTTTACTCCAAATGCCTTCAGGGCGGGTTTGGCTGGCTTCAGTTGTGGTTATGGAACCACAGCCACCTGAGCCTGACAGCTCTGGGGAAGCAGCCACTTAAAGAACAGAGCTAGGGCCAGGGCCCCTGTTCTCCATCTTGAGAAAAACTTTTTTACCATTATCAATGTTAACTGTGGGCTTTTCCTGCATGGCCTTTACTATGCTGAGCTAATGTCTTTCTAGTCCTGTTTCGTCATGAGGATGCGGAGCTTCCACGTGCCCCTCACGTCTGTTGAGATGACGACATGCCACGACCCTCCCCCCGTTCTGATAGGGTGGTCCTTCCACGAGCCAGCATGCTGCATCACCCTTGCTAGCACCCAAAGGACAAATCGCACTGGTCACTGCGTGTGGAGGAGCACACGCACACACCTTGGCTTGGAACCTCAAGTCGCATTCTCTTCTGCTGCCTCACTGTATCCGCAGCTGCAGCAATGCATTTTTTTCTTTACAACATTGCATTAAGCAGCTTTACTTCTACCTGTCACTTTGATCTTTGCCCATGTCACAAAAGCCCGTGTTTAGAGGGGTTGGGGGTTTCTCGAAGGTGACCACCTCAGTGGACTCCTGGGGGAGTTCACGGCCGAGCGTGGCAGGCCTTCCCAGGTGGGAGTTTAGGTACCTGAGACCCTTCCGATGCAGTTGTGGTCCCTGCCTAAGCTGGAGCTTGGTGTACTGGGGTCCCAAAGGTGGCCTCAGCAAGCAGCCGTCTCGGCCCCCGCCCATGCTCAAGGCTGCCCAGCTGGGCTGAAAAGGGCCTTGGGCACTTGGCACCCTGCATTTTGGAGAGCACTGTGCCCTCTCCTAAGGGTGCAGAGCTGGGCACAGAGGGCCTGCAGGAGTGGCATGAGACCCCGTTCCCACTCGTGGGAAGGATGCCGAGTAGAGGCCCCTGGGCACCATCCTGGCTAAGCATCAGGGAACTCCTTGGTTCTCGGGACACTTCAGGGTTTCCTTGCCTCACTGCCTGCTGTCCTCACACAGGGCTACAAGTAGTTTTGGTTTTTTAGATAGGGTTTCACCACGTCACTAAGTTTCCTGTGGTGAGCACAATCTTGCAATCCACCTGCCTCAGCCTCCCAGCCTGGTAAGAAATCTTGAGTGAAAAAAAAAAAATCTTGAGTGAAAAACATTGGTGGGGTCTGTCCTTGGTGTTCCCGCCTCCCCAGAGGTGTTCGCTGTGTAACAAAGAAGGTGCTGTCAGCAGGTCCTCCTACTTGTGCTGATAGGATGAGGGACCCTGGGACGTGGGGCTTTCCCAGGCAGGACCCACTCTGTAAAGCGACTTTGCCAGCCCCGGGTTCCTGACTGCAATCAGCAAGGCCTGCAATGATTCTGGGCAGTGTCCAGCCCAGCCGCAGTACAGATGAAGGGGCCACAAGGGGCCAAAGAGTCACAGCCCAAGGGAGGTGACTGGATTGCAGGCCAGAGTCAGGACGGGCCCTGCACAAGGCTGGCCCCAGGCTCCTGCCGGACTGAGGTGGGACCCACATAGTATGTCCAGAATGATGCCACTTGGGCAAGAGAATTTTCTCAGTCTCCTCAGCTGCCACAGGTGACTTTATTTGTGAAGCTTCTAGGCACAGCCCAGACACGCAGAGAGCACACTGTAAGCACAAGGCGGTCACGGCACTGCCAGGCCTGACCTACTCTCCCTGCCCTGGTGATCCTAGGAGAGCAGCCCCAGATGAAGCACTGGCATCAGAGTTCTAACTCCTCCTCCCTGGGCAGAGCGGCCCCTCTGGCTCAGCCCCACCGTTCCTGGACCGGCTGGTATCACCGCTGGTGGCTCTTCTGGTCCACCTGAGCAGGGGCTGGGGGCCTGGCCTCTGAGCCATCCCCACCTGCAGCCTCTGCTCCATAGGCCGCTCAGTTCACATGACAGCTCGAACAGTGGAGGCAGCAACTGCTGCAGGCCTAGGCCAGGTGGAATACAGCCCAATGTGACACAGACAGCAGAGCACGTGAGAGCATGTCCCAGGCCTTGGCACAGCCTGGGAGGCAAAAGGACAGCAGGGCAGGGGACAGCTGCACCAAGGAGCGCAGAGCACCCCCAGGTGGTGCTGAGTCTTTAATGGCAAAGCGGCCTGCAGCCCATGGCTGGGGCTAGCGCTCCGCAACAGACCAGGGCCAGGGAGACGTGAAAAACCCCATCCTGATGCAGGGCGCACGTACCGCACCGACATACGCACTGGACCACACGACACAACACCAAGACCCTCCCTGCCTGTCAGTCCTGTCCTGGGGACACAAGGGCTGCAGCGCAGATCTTCCTGGCCCCCATTCCTAGGGTGGGTCGGGGACAGAAGAGGCGGCCAGAAGGCTACACCTTGTAAAGCGTCTGCAGCAGGCTGTGGCGGGCAAAGGAGCAGGACTCCAGGGCGCCGTTGGGCCTGCAGGGAAAAGCAGAACATGAGAGGCAGACACTGGGGGTGGCAGAGGGATCTGTTGCCCAGGTGGGGACTCAGAGCTGTCCTTTTCACCAGGACTTGAGAGACATGAGCCCCTTGGCCCAGCCCAACAGCCCAGCAGAGACTCCAGCCCAGCCAACAGGGGGCGCAACGAGGCCACACTCACTTGGTGATGAAGGCCAGCAGCAGGGGTGCAAGGGCCTTGGGAAAGTAGTCCTGCTGCACCACGTGGTTCAGCGCCATCAGGGGGCCATAGAGGTTGGTGATAGCCTTGATCTTGTCTTCACTCTGCAAGGGGAATACTGAGAAGCTGGGGGGACCCCAGGTGCCCTTGTTCCCTATCACAGACACAGTTCAACTCCATGACGGGGCCCAGCCCAGAGGACCCTGGCCCTGGGACACACTGCCTCACCTTGAGCAGGCCCATGTGGACCAGCAGGCTGGTGAGGAAGGCATTGGCGTTGAAGGCTGAGGAGCTGAAGGCCTTCCTCATGAGGGCATCTGCGACACAAGCACAGGGTAGCAGGGTGAGAGACAGGAGAGGTGTCATGGGCCAGAGACTCCCAGAGTCCTCCTCACACACAAGCCTGGCCACTTACCTGTTCTAACCAAACAGGGACACGAGAGGGATGGCAGGGACAGAGGCGCCAGGGTGAGGGCAGCTGGCACCAGGGAGCAGAAACTTGTCCCCCATCTTAGCCTCACAGGTGAAACAATGTGGGGACAACACTCCCGGGCTACCACACATGGGGTGGAAGACCCAGTGAGGAGAGGGACAGCGTGCTTACTCTAGAGAACAAACAGCAGACCTCAGAATACTCAGCCTGGGTTTCCACTGAAGCCCCCATTCTATCCCTGCCACTCTTGGAGCTCAAATCCAGGAAGGAGCACCGCGTGTCACTGTTCCTCTCTCCTTTGCCATGAGCAATGTCCTTACTCATGAGGCCCTTCCTCCTCTCTGCCCACCTCTGGGCTCAAACTGATGGTGACAAGGTGGAAGAGGACACTCAGAGAATGGGGCCAGCACCACAGATCGCCAAAGCCAGAAAATGAAGTGGGCTCCTCTGTGCTCCTCTGTGCCAGGCCTGCCTGCAGCTGTGGACATGGGAGCTGCACACCTCTCCCAGACAGGAAGCGTGCACGGGGTCTTGGGGATGTTCACGGCCTCCTAGGTAGGCAGGGTCTCACCCAGCCACAGGGCTTTGGGAAAGGCCTCAGTTTCTCCAGCTGTGGATACTGGAGAGTGCTCAGCACACTCCTCTGGAGGACCACGGCAAGAGCCCGACAGAATGGCTCAAAGGGTTCTGTCGCAGAGGGTTCCGGACACCATCCATCAACATCCCCTGTGGGGTGTCTACCCTGGCCCACATTACCTACTGCATCCTGCACTGCTGTCCTCACTGTGGCCTCGTCCTTGAACACTGACGACACCTTCAGGAAGGCTGAGACCACCTTCTCCGGATCAGATGTGTCAGTCTGAAGACATGAGAGACAATGGCAGGTCACCAAGGTCAGAGCCCAGGACTCTGGCATGTGGTGAACAGAAGTCTAAATTCTGCTTCTGACCAGAAGAGGTCTGGAGAGGGGGGAAGACCACAGGACCCGATGGGCAGGATGCAGGCAGTCCCTCCAGCCGGCTCCCATCTGACCTACAGCATGTGGGCCGCTGGGAGCAGGTGGCTGGACGGAGAAATCACACAGAAGGCAGACACCGTCCACCTGCGAGGAAGCCAGAGCTACTTCTACTTCTCTAGTAATGGGGGCAACAGGGAAAAACGGAAACTGCCAGGCAGAGTGGCTTGCTCTGAAGTGACAGACACACTCACTGGAATAAAAAAGAATGAGAGCGGGGCTGGGGAGATGGCTCAGTGGTCTAAAGCACCTACTTAGAACAAGCTTAGCAAAGCACAGGGACCGCGGTTCAATCCCCCAGCACCACATGCCAGCCAGCCCTGCCCCCTGGTGGGCTGAGCTGGCCACACACACACACACACACACACACACACACACACACACACACACACACACACACAAAAAAAAAAAAAAAACTTTAAAAAAAAAAAAAAAAAGAATGAGCGCTCTACCTAGAGGAAACTGTGGAATGCTGTGACACGAAGCTTGCATTAGCTGAGTATGCTTTTGCACACCTGTAATCTCCCAGTACTCTTTGAGGCTGAGGAAGGATTAGAGGTTCTACCCCAGCCTGGGCAACTTAGTGAAACCCTGTCTCGAAAAAATGATTTAGTTATTTATTTGGTACCAGGGACAGAACTCACGACCTTGCACTTGCCAGGCAAGCACTTATGCCACTGAGCTATCTTCCTGGCCCTCAAAATTAAAAAAAAAAAAAAAAAAAGAGCTGAGATATTCAGTGTGAAGGCCCTGGGTTCAATCCCAAGATTATACTAAAGTACAGTGCGTGACACAAACAGACACTCACAAATCACCTCAGAACAAAGCAACGACCAACCAAGCAGTGAGGCTGGAGCAAGGGCAGTTTCCACTGGGTACACATGGGGCCAGGCAGCTGCTGACCACACAGAAGCCCAGGGATACACTGGGCACCTGGGTGTGAATCCCTGTGGTGAGGTTGCGGCGGGCAGGCTGCCCTTACTGCAGGCAGGGGGCTCACAGATATCCTGCACATGCTTATCTGTGTGTATGCACTTTTTGTTTTGTGTGTACGTGTGTCTGGCTGGCTGGCTGGCTCGGCCCACACTGTGGGCAGGGCTGGCATGACATGTGGTGCCAGGGGATCAAACCACGGTCCCTGCACTTGCCTATGCAGGCACTTTAGACCGATGAGCTATCTCGCCAACCCTCTTTCCTCCTTGCGCTTGCCAGAGAAGTGCTTATTCTACTGAGCCATCTCCCCAGCCCCTACCTGTTTGTTTCTTGAGACAGGATCTTGCTCAGTAGTCCAGGCTGGCCTTGAACTTGGGGTGATCCTCCTGCCTCAGCCTCCCAAATCTGGGATTATAGGAGTGTGCCACTATGCCTGACTATATGCCTGCATTTAAAAGTTTAAAAGAACCAAGGGCCAGGCCCCTAGGTAACAGCAACCCCTCCCCTCTCCCTGTGCTCCACTGTCCCGTCTCTGTGGAGGACTCTCACCTGCTGGGCTATCAGCACTGAGCTTTTGGGCCCAAGGCGCAGCAGCTTCTCAGGGGAGGGGAAGGCCAGGAAAGTGGAGACATCGGCGGGCAGTGGGGACGACAGTGACGGAGCCGGCTCCTGAAACAGGTGATATAAGGTGGTGGGGATTGGGGGGGGGTGCTCCACAGATTCCCAGCTCTGGAACACCCACCTTCACTCTAGGCAGGCCTGGGCTAAGGTCTGAACTGTCCACCACTCCACACTGCTCCTCTAGGTGGATCCCTGTGGGGCCATGCAAGGCCCCAGAAATGACTCAGGAGAGGCCACTAGGAACGGGAGTGCAGCCGGGGTCAGAGCTGCAGTGGACACTGAGGGCCGGGCCAGCTGCCTGAGACCACTCGTCACCACGATGCTTGCAGAACCCTGGAAAGCACCCAACTCACCCGGGGCCAGGTGCTCCTGGCCTTCCCAAAGCTCCCTGGAGCTTCCTTTGGGAATTTTGAAGGAACACAAATGAACAGCTTAGGAGTGGCAGTCCAATGCCACCAGGGCCTGACAAGGGACACCAAGGGTGTGCCACAGTCCCAGCTACAATCTCTAGAGCACAAGGCCCTGAAGGAATACCAAAATAATTCACTGCTGGGTGAGAAAAAAACACCTATTTTTATACTGATACTCATATAAAAGTAGAGTGCAGAGCCAGATGTGATGGTACATGCCTGGCATCCCATAGCTGGAAGCCTGAGGCAGGAGGATCAGTGAGTTTGAGGCTAACCTGAACTATAAAGTGAGACCCCAAAACCTAAATAAATGAAAAGCACTGTAGCCCCAGCAGTGACAGGAACTTACTCCAGGGCTGGAGTTCAGAATCTTCCTTGAGGGCGTGGCTGGTTCCTCTTCCTGTCTTTGCTGCGGCTCTTCCTCCTCTTCCTCTTCTTCTTCCTCCTCCTCATCCTCTTCTTCCTCATCTTCTCCTTCCTCATCTTCTTCCTCATCCTCATCCTCACCCTCGTCATCACTGCAGAGAGGAGCTGGTAAGGCAGACCTTCCCTGCCCTTGGCCTACAGGCCCAGCCCTGTAAGGGGGAACAGGGCAGCCCTGCTCCCAGGGAAGACACAGATCGCCACAGGAGGTGCCCCTGCCACTGAAGGCACCACACCACCTCCTGGGGACCCAAGCCTCTGAGGGGCCTGGCCACTGGAGCCCGTAACTGCCTCCTATGCAGATGAGGACACTGGGAGTGGCCTGGGGTGGCTGGCAAGAACTGACTGTGACACTGTAGGAGGCCTGCCTGCCCACTTGCCCTACTCTGTACGGAACACTGGAAAACCCCTTCCTTCCCTGTGGCACTGAGGACTAATCCCAGGGCCTTAGTACTGAGCTATATCCCTGGCCCTGTTTTATTGTCTGAGACAACAGGCTCTTAGTGCTAAAATCCCCAGGCTGGAGAACTCCTTATCCTCCCACCTCAGAGTCCTAGCAAACTAAGACTACAGGTGTGTGCCGCCATGCCTGGCTTCTCTTTCGCCAGCTGCTTCCTTGCTAGTCAATTCAGGAATGCCTCACTTCCCAGCCTGCAGCTCCCACAGCCTCCTGCCCCCACATTTGCTGTTCGGCCCTGTCAGCCTCCAAGACTCACCCCCCACAGAGGGCAGCATTTTGGTACCCACCCAGCCCAGAGGAGCAGACAACGGCTTTGTCACCCTACCCCATCTCTGCCACTCAGAAACCTTGGTCACCCTCTGTCCCTGGTGCCAGCACAGGGCCTGGCACACACAGGCACTCAGCAAGTTTCTGGGTGAGCATGCAGAGGAAGGAGTACGTGCACACGGGGCTACCTGCCTCCTACCTAAGGGACGCCAGCACCTTGGCCATGTTGAAGCTGTCCAGTACCTCCTGGAGCTGCTCGCAGCCCTCCTCTCCTAGGGCGTTGCCTGCTCAGAGGGGACAACAAGGTGAGAACGGTGCAGGGCCAGGCCCAGGGTGGTGCTAAGGGCCCCCCAGCCCCATTACCATTGAGGTCCAGCTTCTCCAGCTCAGCCTTGTCAGCTACGGCCTCTGCCACTGCCAGGGCAGCATCTCTCTTGATTTCGCAGAAGGACAGGTTCAGCTCCTGGAAGAAGAGAAAGGTGGAGGCTGGCAGCTACTGGGGGGCTAGGTCCTTCTCCCTAGCCCGGCTCCTTTAGAGGCACAGGGACCAGAAGCCAAACACGCCTGATAAAATGATGCCTGTGCCCCTACACATGACCAGTGTGAGGTATACTCTGACACTGTACCGCTTCCTTCCCTCCCGTGACAACAATGTGCCTCAGAGAGACGGAATGGTGTGGAAGGGCAAGGGGCTGGGCTTCCCCCCCCCCATGAGCAGGACCCAGGTCCTGGAGTGCAGCGGCACCTTGAGCTTGGGCAGACCCCCGCGCACAGCATCTGCTAAGGCCACAGCCCCCTTGGAGCGCACCAGGCAGTCCCCAAAGTTGATCACTTCCACCTGCCGCAAGGTCTTCAGGCTCTGTGAGGAAGGAACAAGGTCCAAGGTGAGGGTGCAGGCCACACTGTTCTGTTACCATGCTGTCCTCCCATGTCCTGGACTGGCGCCTCCCACAGCTCAGCTCCTCTCCCAACCTCCAAGGGGCCTCTGGGGTGTGGGCTCCACATCTAACATGTCTATCGCAGCACACCACCCCCTACAGCCCTCCATGGCTCCCCATTACTTACAGGACAGGGCCTCATGGAACCAGCAAGGCTCTGAGGTCTTGTTCCCTTCCCCATCATCCCTCCTGCACCTGCAGGACCCAGGAGCAAGGCTCCCTCCTGATCCAGGCCTCCCACGCCCCATGATCCCTCCATCCACTCATCCCACCCTCTGTCCACTTGTCCGGCACAACTCAGCCAGCATACGAGCTCTTTCAGAAGCCAGCCCCACCACAACAGAGCTTATTCTGAGCACTCCACACTTATCTGGTGACACCTGTAGCACCAGGGGAACCATGGGGTGCTTGCCAACCAGCACCCTCGCTCACTGCTTGGTGGCTCCCTGCCCTCCATAAGGAGGGACCCATGGGGCCTGCACCTGCTACAACCTGGGCACCATATAGGGGCCCAGTGGAAGGCTGCTGGGTGAGTCAATGCAGGAAGCCAGGGCAGGCACTTTGTCTCCTGTAGCCTGAGGATGAGACAGCCCCAGCACTGGAGGCAGGTGCAGGCTGTGCAGGATTCAGGGAGCAGTGCACAGCCTCCTTGTGACTGCGGTCCTATTCCAATGTGTACACACAGCAGGGAAGAGGGCAGAGCCCCCCCTGCTGGCAATACAGAGGTAGCAGCCAGGCCCTGGCTAGCCGGCCAGGGAGGCCCCCCACACACCCACCTACCTCGGCCATGGCCACCGCGCCCTTCTCAGTAAACGTGTTGTCATTGAGGTTGATGACCTGCAGCAGGGGGTTGATAGCGAAGGCCTGGGCCAGGGCTGTGACACCAGGGTGGTTGATCCCGTTCTGCGGCATGTGCACCTCCTGCAGTGTCCCAATGATCTGCGAGGGCAGGACGACAGTGCAGAGTAGACCCCAGGCCAGCAACACCAGCAGGGACAGGCCGGGACATCTCTGTCCCAGGTGCTTGGCACAGTGTAGAAGGTACAGAACAAGCCACGCTGCACTCATCAGCCAGCTAAGAAAGCCCCTGGGTTGCTCCTCAGAAAAAATGTTTTTAAATTTCAATAAAAATAGGGCCGGGGGGCCTGCCCCTTAGCTCATGGGGGCCTGCCCCTTAGCTCAGTTCTTTAAGTGGCTGCTTCAACAAAGCAGTCAGGCTCAGGTTGCTGTGGTTCGATCCCCACAGCACAAGCCAGCCAAACCTGCCTTGAAGGCATTCGGCGCAAAAAAAAAAAAAAAAAAAAAAAAAAAAAAAAAATTGGAGCCGGGGAGATGGCTCAGTAGAATAAGTGCTTGCCTGGCAAGCGCAAGGGTCTGAGTTCAATCCCCGGTTCCGCAAAAAACAAAAATAAATAAATAAAAATAAAAAAAATTTAAAAAAAATAAAAATAGGGCCAGGGAGATAGCTCAGTAGAGTAAGTGCTTGCCTGGCAAGCACAAGATCCTGAGTTCAATCCCCAGTACCAAAAAAAAAAAAAAAAAAAAATCAAAAAAAATAAACAGAACTACAAAGGAAGTTCACTAAAATGAAACAGTTATCAAAACACGGAAAAAAGGGCCGGCCAAACAGCTCAGTGAATTAAAGCACCTGCCTAAGGCAGACACAGGGGCCAGGGGTTCAATTCCTGGCCTGCTGTGCTGGCTCTGCCCCCCCCCCCAGGCACACTGAGATGGCGACTGAGACTGGGCATGGTGGTGTGCGCCTGTAATCCCAGCTTTTGGGAGGCTGAATGCACAGGTGGATCACTAGAGCCCGATCTTTGTAGCAGCACTGGGGAGGCTGAGGCAGCACTGTTGTGAGTTCGAGGCCATCTTGGGCTGCATAGGTGAGATCAAGGGTAGCCTGAACTACATGGTAAGGCCCTGTCTCAAAAAAAAAAAAAAAGGTGGGGGAGCTGTAGAGGACGTAGCTCAGCGGCATACACATCTGTCTGGCAAGCACACAGGTCCTGAGTTCTATCCCCAGTACCAGAAAAAATAAAAAGAATGCTATGGCAGCACAGATGCTTCTCCCCATTGTATTAGGGACTGAACACAGGCCTTTGCACTGAGCTACACCTCCATTCCTTTTCATTTTCTATTCTGGAACAGGACCTCACTAAAGCTGCTAAGAAAACTTGTAATCCTGCCTTAGCCTACCAGAGTGCTGAGATTATAGGAGAAGACAGACAATGCACAGTCTATGGTACTCATAAAAAACAAGATCTGGGAGTTTACTGTTACAGCAACTTGTAAATATCAAGAAACAAATTTCTTTCTTTTTCTCTAATTTTGGTGACAGAGTCTGACTCTTCCCCGGCCCATAAATAAAGGCAGGGCAGGGGCTCGAACTTGCGAAGTTGCGCTGTAGAGGCTGATGCATAAACCGCTACGCTATCTCTCCAGCTCAGAGTCTCACTCTTACCTGAGCTGCTCCTAAACCCACTGGCACAAGCAGCAGTCTCCCTTGTAGTGAGGACTGCAGGCTTGTACCGCTGCACAAGTTTGAGGCCACACTGAGCAGCTCAGCAATATCCTTTTTTTTTTTTTTGGTGGAACCGGGGATTGAACTCAGGCCCTTGAGCTTGCCAGGGAAGCGTTTATTCCACTGAGCCATCTCCCTGGCCCCACCCCAGCTCAGCAATATCCTATTTCAAAATTCCAGGGGCTGGGGAGATGGCTCAGTAGAATAGGTGCTTGCTGGGCAAGGGCAAGGGCCTGAGTTCAATCTCTGGTTCTGCCACGAAAAGGGGGGTGGGGGGGAGCGAGGAGATGGCTCAGTAGACTAAGCACTTGCCTGATAAGTGCAAGGGTCTGAGTTCAATCCCTGGTTCCTAAAAAAAAAAAAAAAAAAAATCTAAAAAACGACTGGGTTCAATCTCTGTATCACAAAAAAAAAAGCGCAGTATTATATAACAGCTAAAATTCACTTTACCCCAAAATATTTCACAGCTACTTTTGTCCCAGTGAGCTCAAGTGTTGCAAGTATCTTTGTAAAATTCCATGTGACTCATGTGACACTGGCCTCCCCTTGAGTAGTAGTCTGTGTCTTCTATTAGTTGCACATTGGGGCTGGGGATTTGCCTAGCAAGCTAGAAGCCCTAGGTTTGGTTCTTGGCACCAAAAACAAAAAATAAACCTCTCCTATAAGTTGCAAATCATGGTAAAAAGTGATCTCTTGGGCTGGTGAGATGGCTCAGTGGTCTAAAGCACCAACTTAGAACAAGCTTAGCAAAGCACAGGGACCGCGGTTCGATCCCCAGCACCACATGCCAGCCAGCCCCGCCCCCTGGTGGGCTGAGCTGGCCACACACACACACACACACACACTAAATAAACGTAAAAATAAATAAATAAATGATAAAAAAAAAAAAGGCAAAACAAACAAACAAAAAAAAAAAAACTTAGCCCCTTGTGCTTGCCAGGCAAGTGCTTAGTCTACTGAGCTATCTTCCCAGCCCCAGTGAGTGATAAATATGACACAAAATGTGAGGCTCAAGGATAGCTTGGTGATGATGCATGTTTAGCACACACAAGGCCCTGGGTTTAATCCCTGCCCCCAAATACTCTCCCTAAAACAAAATGCAAGATGTGCATAACCACATATTTATGTACTGAGTAACCAAAGGCTATTATTAAAGAATTTGGGAGTCAAACATTACACTCAAGGGGTCAGGGAGATGGTTCAGTGGAATAAGCGCTTGCCTGGCAAGCGCAAGGGCCTGAGTTCAATCCCCGGTTCTGCCAAAAAAAAAGAGAAAGAAAGAAAAACAAAAACATTACACTTAGGAGCTGGAGGGGTGGCTCTGTGGGATTCTCACTGTGTAGGGGATCAGCACCCCTTGGTTAATCGTAGTGTTTAGCTATGTTGAGACAGCAACGATGTGATTTTCTCTCTCTGTGCTCACAGAGCCCCTGAACTCTCCCCACACTGGGTTAAGAACCCTATTTTAAGCATAGCAAAGGTCAACAGAAAAGAGAAGCAGCCAGTGTCCTGCCTACCCCAGAAGAGGCAAGCGTTCCCTAATCAAGTGGTCCAGGGAGTCACAGACAGGCAAGGTGAGGCTTCTTTAGATGCAAACTGGTGGACAGATCACTATCCTAGGAAACAGTCCCATGAACAGGGTGGGGAGGTAGCTCCGTGGTACAGCACTTGCCTGGAGTGCATGAGGCCCTGGGTTCATATCCCAAAAAGTAAAACATAAAATAACAGAAGGAAACAGAACCAACATTCCACCCCAGTGGGAGGCACCCAGAATTCATCGTTAAGGGCCTTAACACAGGGCCCTGGAAAAGTAAAAAAGGGAGGAGGCCCTGCTCCCACTTGTCTTGTGTCCCCATCTGACAAGTATGTGTGCTTAATTCCCATTGTCCTTTTTTTTTTTTTTTTTTTTGCAGAACCAGGGATTGAACTCAAGCCCTTGCGCTTACCAGGCAAGGGCTTATTCTACTGAGCTATCTCCCCGGCCCCTCCCATTGTCCTTGAGGCTGCTGAGGCAAGTGACACTCTCAGACCAGATACCTGCCCTGTCCAAGGTTATAGTCTTCTCAAACAGAGTGTGGAGCTGCTGCTGACCTGCCGAGGTGGTGGGGGGTGTGGGTGTGAGCGAGGGACATTTTGGGACTAGGCAGAAAGTGGCACTCTTCGCCCACCAAGGCAGGACAGAAGAAATCACTCACCCCAAAAGCTTCTGCCAAGGCAGTGGCTCCATCATTCTCCAGACGGTTCCTGCCGGCTACAAAGACCTTCAGGGCCAGTGGCTTGCCTTGGGCACTGGACTTGCGGTGACACTCAGTCAGAGCTGCCGCTAGGATCTGCAAGGAGGGGTGAGGCACAACTCATTAATGCACACGGTCAGCCCCAAGCTGGGCTCAATCCTCCGGTCTCAGCAGCTAGAACACAGGTGCATGCCACCATGCCGAGCTCAGAAGCCCTCTCTGGTCAGGAAGCAACTGAAAGACTCTGGAACCAGAACCTAAGCCTAGACAGTGCTTGAGAGAACCAGGGTCAGGACCGCAGTTCAGACATACCATCGGAGAAGGCCCTGGCCCGCGATGGCTAGGCATAGCAGGGTGACAGCTGCCAAGGCACAAACCTAAAATCCAGCTTGACCTGTTTCTAATATGGAGCCAGGAGGTAGCTTCCATCCTGACTGTACCACAAGGCAAAGCCCAAGTGCTGATTAGTAGCTAGACGTGGTACAGCACACCTGTAATCTCAGCACTTGGGAGGCTAAGGCAGGGCAATCACTGAATTCAAGAACAGCTTGGCAGGGCTGGGGAGATGGCTCAGTGGTCTAAAGCACCTACTTAGAACAAGCTAAACTAAGCAAAGCACAGGGACCGTGGTTCAATCCCCCAGCACCACATGCCAGCCAGCCCCGCCCCCTGGTGGGCTGAACTGGCCACACACTAAATAAATAAATAA